CCGCCTGCCCGCCCGCTCCCCCAACTGCACCGCGCTGCACCGGGCCTTCTGCATGCATCCATTACGTCACGTGTTTTCGCGCACTCGGCCCGCCAGTCCTCCTCCCTCTTTCGTCCTTTCTCCCTGTCCCCCTCTCTCTTTCTCTTTCGCTCTTTAGCGGGGCGGCCGCTTTACCCAGACGGCCTCGAGCTTGACGCGACGACGCCGTATTATTGGCCTCCCCGCCTGGAACTCCTGGAGGAACTCCAGTGGAACTCCAGTGGAACTCCAGTGGAACTCCAGCAGCGCGGGACGCTGGAGGCGCATCGCATCCAGCCTTGCCTGGGCTGGGCGGCGTTGGTCTTCTCGTCTTCTCCAGGAGACGGTGGTGGAGTCTTCCCCGAAGGATGCTCGAGTTCGAGTTCCTTCCGGAGATGCTCGAGTTACCTCCAGGAGATGATCGAGACCTCTCCACAGAAATGCTCGAGTCTTCTTCTCCAGGAGATGCGCGAGTCTTAATTCTCCGCGAAGATGCTCGAGCCTTTTCCAGGAGACCTTTGAGCATTCAGGTCTACTGAAGGAGATGCTCCTTAAGGGTCGGCGCGTGGTGGGTGAAGAACCCTTCTGCCCCGGTACGCGTGGGCGTGGCACCGCCTCGGCCCGCTATCGGTCACCGTCGAGGAGGGCCGGCCACCGGCCACAGCAGGCCCAGGCCACACTGCGACGCGCGCTGATCCCCGTCCGACATTGGATTGTCAATAACGCTTTGGGGTGGGAGCGCGGCTACTACCGGCGGGGGGGCTCGCCGCTTGCTTGTTGCTTCCCCTGAGCATAGCAGGCGGCTCCCCGTCCAGGACAATCATGACGTCGAGAGTTTAGCGCGGGCGTCCTGGCGCTTCGCTTATCGTTCGGTTGAGCCGCTCTGGGTGGGAGGCTCCGCCAGCTTTGGCGATCCTCGCATCTTTCCGGATCACCGATGTGATGATCCCGCCCCCTGCCTTCCTTACTCGGGCTCTGCCGCGCCCTGCCTGCCTGCACAAGAGATGCACCGCTTTTGTTTCTCCGGTGCCGGTGTCCTCGAGGGCTCGATGCACTTTTGTTTTTGCGCCGCCGTCGTCTTCGCCTGTCGCCGCCGCGCCGAAAAACGCGCGCCAAAGCAAAGAGGCAAAGGGGTAAGGAAGGTGAGGGGGTGTGTGGGGGTCGCCTCTACTTCCTCCCCGCGCCCCTCCGCGGCCTTCCCACGCCGTGCTACCCCCC